GACGACGAAGTGAATGAAGAATGAAGATGGTTGGTGGATATGAAGTGGTTGTGACGACAATGAAGGGTGATGAGAAGGAAGATCGGAGATGCGGACTTTTCCGATTCCTGTCTTTTTTGTTTTGGTAAACAATCCAGACTCGCCGCCGAGCAACGACTGGAGTCACAAATGCCACCCGTGGCAGTCGCAGTGATATACACGATCTCCCTTTGTTTTATAGTAGTTTATTTAAAGTGGGCTTAATGTAATGAAGTTGATATCCAAGTGTTATTAAATTGCATGCGGCTGCAGACAGTGCTGGACTGTGACGTGCAGCAATCGCCCAGATGCACCTCACGGTCGCAGTTGTCCTATTAATAGCCTGACAGTCAGTAATTATGATCGCCAATTGAATGAATGGCTGGCTACTTCCATTCGAACAGCACAATCAAGGGACTAATCCAATTAGCACAATGGCATGGCATTTGCGGGGGGCCATCACCCCGGACTCCCGTTGCGACTTGTCGGTCGCGCCCGCTTAACCTTTTATTCCCCACCAGACTACCCTCTTCCTTTGAAAAGTGTTCATGAGATGTTGTTTCTGTCATGATAAACATGATTCCATTGCTGGGATAGTATATTCGGTCTAAGCAATACTACAGTGGGGATCATTAATGAACGCTGAGAAACAGAAGAGGACAAGCAACCCCGGACTTCCTCCGCGTGTCGATCACGAACGAGTGATTGGAAGCAGGCGCGAAGTGATGTACAACATGCAGAAATGTCAAAACGAATCAGTGATCAGTCTGTGTCCAACGCCAGAATCAAGGACTGTGGATAGGGATATCGACGCCAAAAACACAAATAAGAAGAGGAAGCAACAGACATGTCATAGCTTGATCCGATCGACCAGCTCAAAGTCATCGTCGTCAGCCATGTAGCCCAGGGCTGTCTCACCCTCATAAGAGATCATCTCGTACTCCTTGACAATCCGCTCTGTCTCCTTCGTCTCGAACTTCTCGACAGCCTTGCTCACAGCATCAGAGAGTATAGTTTGGCCCGCCACATCATAGTCACGCAGCGTATCCTTCCCCTCAGCATCATCGAGTATCTTCTCCGCCGCGGCAGGGTCATCGATATCATCGCTGGAAGAATCCGACGTTCCACTGTCGAGAGCCTCCCTAACATCAGCACGCAGGGCGATCTTGGCGTCGCTGAGATGATGGTTGGTTTCAGCCTTTCGCTGGAACCGCATCTGGCGGGTCAAGCTAGCGGCTGTCAGCGACATTTCGAGTTGTCAGGCACGGAAACATACGTTGTGTAATGAGTAGCTGGCAACCTCGGCCTAGCTTTGTGCAAGACATGAGAGTGGACAGCTTGGCTATAACGAGGCAGGGTAGAACGGCTGCCGTACGCCCACTTGGCCTTGTGGTCGTGAGCCCTTTTGGCCTCAACGCCAGCACGACGGATATCAAGCAAGGTGTCAGACATGACTGGAGAGGACAGTTTGGTGTCGACGGATGCGGGAGAAGATAGTCTCAAATATATACAGAAGATAGGTAAACCACACTCGGGTAATGGGTGGCGCTTGCCTCTGTTATTGAGGGATGCCTGGAACAGGGGAATATAAAGCCAGGAAATTGAGGCGAGAGCGGTGGACAAAAGACTGAATACTAAGGCAGACCCGCGAACCAAAAATCTCCGATAAACAATAAACAAGAGAGGTTACAGGGCGTCTTTGGTCTGAGTCATAAAGAGGCCCCGGCTGGGCTTCCAGTCATCGACGACCCGAGGATGTCGAGCGGCAAATGCACACAGTAGACTCTCACAATGATGGGGAAATGAGTAATAAAGAGATCCGACAAGGAGACCCTTCTCTGAGCAAGTCGAGAAGAGGACAGAAAAGAGGCAACAAAGCGACACCTTGGGGGTGAGCTCGTCATCCAGGGGAGATATAACTACTATCTCCAACCGCACGCGCTCCGAGGGGGGAAGACTAAATAGGCAGCACGGGGTCCGCGCGAGGCGATGCTGATTATGGCAGGTCATCTGTTGGGAATCATCTATCGTCATCGTAGCCTGTAACCTGTAGCCTACTAGCTATTAACTAATCCAAGGAAGAAAGACTATCTCTACTATCGGAGGGGGTGGGAAATCAGCTATCAATCCGGCGCGGCAGTTACTAGACTATTCCCCCCTGGATTGTTATCGTTGCTGCTGCTGCTGCTGCTGCTGCCGATCCCCCGAGCGCCACTTCTCGACCCACGGTTTAGCGCCCCCTCACTCTGCTTCTCACTAAGTAGTTCAGTCGATTCCCGAGGTTAAACGCGCAAGATACCAGAATTCCAGCCTCTGGGAAAGTTGGAACTTGCCGGGTGATTCATTTTCCAAGGCTGAATGGGAAAGGAAGATCCCTCTAACAATAGGGCCAACTGCATGAGATGTGATCCACTGCCCCAGGCACGTTGTGGTCGATCTGGAACGTCACTTGTCAAGGATGGCACGGTAATTGATTGCATGCTGAATGGATCGGTTCCTCTGGATCGGAGTCTCTGTCTGGGACAAGGAAAATGCCGCCGTAAATCAAACCCTGCATCTGCCAATCGCCTCTGCTCGTGGTTACCCGTGACATTTCCTGTTATCGGGGGGGCTTGTCCTGCTGAGCGGGTGATCCCATGCTCCGAAGCCATCTGCGATCTGACCGTAGTTAGGGCGGGCAGCTGACTTGATGGCTGCGCCAGTCACTTGCGATGGAGGTAATGTGATGTATGCAGCTTAGTTAATAAGATTGTGACATCAGCTGGAATGTTATTTGCTGCTGATGGACTGATTAGACGGATGTACAAAAGGAATACTAGTAGTTGGCTTGGCTCGTATTGTTGAGCGTGATGATTATTGTGCATTGTGTTAGGTAATAATCTCTTTGTGCCAGTATTCAACTTCTGTCTATGCTATGCATAATACTGGCAACTGTCTACAGGTAATAATGCACATACGAGACCATACCCTCTACAGAGTACGTTGTAGATGTCGTAATACCATCCTGCTAAGGCATACTCAATATGAGACACAGCCTCGAGATCTAGACTGCCACTACCCCACTCTCAGCCTGGCAGTAACAGATTGAGTCATACCATGGCGTCTAGAGCAGATCCCAGAATGGTCCCCGACTTCTATGACACTTACCTACCGCAGACAGACACATCAAGATAATCTACCAAGAGGTACTACATCTACCCAAGTAGTCCACAGCCTTGTGAATTGATTGTCTTATACAAGTCACTTGGCATGTGTCATAATTCAGAGTTATGTTGGACAAACTGCAAGTTGAGGCAATATCATTATGATTCATACTCTCGCAGTTATTGGCTGGGCTATCTTCCTGATAATCTCAACATGCATTAGGGGCGGCTAGGTTTACAGTATAGAGCACCAATATAGCCGAGGTATATCGTCAGATCACGTCTTTTCAACTTTCCTCTTTCGTGTGGTGTCAAAGATAGTACACCCCAGACGCATTTACTTCAGGGATAACCTCGAAATCGAGCCTCCACACCAGAAACTGTAGATATCAATCATAGTAAACGAAGAATGTAATTTTCCGGCAGAACACCACTATGCATGCAATCCATATTACTACCCATCCAGCGTCCAGCACCAGATGCCAATCCCAAAGCACAAAGCAGCACCATACCATAATACAATACACTACTCATCCATCTGCCACTGATAATCCAGCGCCTCCAACCTCCCCTTCCTATTCCTAGCCAAAAACCACTCCTTCTCGAACCCATTCCCCCGATCCACCCCATCCCACCGATGTCCAGGACGAATACCATACCGATTCGGCGCAAACCCTCCCTTATACAACGGCTTGCCCGTCCGACTCGTCCCTCCCTCCTTAACACTAGTCAAGAACTGCGCAGCCGGATCATTCCACCTCAACTTCCCCTTCAATTCATCATTCAGCTCCTCATCCTCCGCCGTCCTCGCCAACGGCATAGCCCTCACATCCCTCAACTGCTGCTTCCTCTCCTCCCTCTCCCTCCTCTGCACATCACCCATCAGCGCCTCCTTCGCTTCTTCCTCCTTCGCCTTCTTCTCCTCCTCCGCCCGTCTCGCCTCCGCCCTCTTCAACGCCACATTAATAATCCGTCCACTCGCATCACGATAAATCGTCTCCTGCGCTTTCTCCCCCAACGCTGACTCCTTATACTTCGCCGCATCGGCCTTCTTCTTCCTCTCCTGCGCAGCGACCATCGCCGCCGTCTGCGCCGCAGTCTGTAATCCCGCCCGCGCCCCGGACTCCATCTTCACCCCTCCATCTTCCTCATCATCTTCCTCCATCCCCTCCACAACCGGCGCATCATCATCTCCCTCATCATCACCACCCCCTTGTTCACGCCGCCGTTCCTCCCTCTCCGCTATCGCATCCGCTAATATCTTATCCGCCGCGTCTTGCTCAGTACCACCCGGTGTAAGAGTCTTCCACCCGGAGGTCTTCTTCCGTCGGAACTCGCCCGTCCGAGCACCACTGACTATTGACGGCGCGTCCTCGTCATCATTGAGGAGATTGTTGCCCGCGGAGCGGAGATCAGGCGGGTCGTCGTCGGCGATGATGAGTCCGGTGGGTGTGGAGTCGGTGGTTTTGGAGCTGTTCTTCTTGCGTTTCTTTTTGGGACGGTCGGGCGCGGGGTCCGCGTTTAGGTAGTTTTTCGCGAGGTAGTCTGCTAGGGAGGACATTTTGTAGTGTGTGTATATTTGGGTGGGTGGTAGGTAGGTATGTGAGGAAGTAGTGTAGTAAGTAGTATGTAAGTGAAGAGTCGGCTGGAGAGCATATCTGTATCTGATAATCGGACGAGGGATTTTCCGGGTAAGCTAACTGCTACTACCCCAGTGATGTAGTTTATGCCTTAGGCAGTAACATATACCGTCTACATCCCCTCTCACTTCATACCTATATACATACACACCCACATTCATATATAATATAAATAAAATAAAACAAATGAAATAGCAAAATGCCCCGCACCGACGAAGCCGACCACTTCATCAACGCCGTCTACTCCGCCGTGCAAGAGATCCCTCGCGGAAGAGTAACAACCTACGGCCATATCGCGACGTTATTAGGATATCGTATGTATGCCCATACCTACCTTTCAATCCCCCATCCCACCATTCAGTAACTCCACATATTTATGATACGATAATGACAATGGGATTAGCAAAACGCCCCCGCCAAGTAGGAATCAGCCTGAAACATCTCCCCGGCGCAGAAACAGACAACTATTTCCATTCGGGGAATGTGCCCTGGCAGAGGGTTATTAATGCAAGGGGGATGATTTCGCATCGGTTTGTCGTACCCTTATAATTATTTTGGGAAGGGGGGGGGTGGTGTATTGGCGATGCTGATATGTGTATTGTACTGCAGGGAACCAGGGAGTGCGGAGAGACAGGCGGAAGCGTTACGGGGGGAAGGGGTGGAAGTGGAGGAGGATAGTATGGGGGAGTGGTATGTGGATTTTGGACGGTATGGGTGGTTTCCGGATGTTTTGCCTAGTGAGGATAGTGATGATGGTGATCATCATGATGATGGGGAGGAGGGTATAGATCGATGATAGAAGTTAGTGTGGCTACGAAGTTGACTTGACTATTCCGATGGTATAATATCAGTAGAACAATGAATCCCATTCATGCACACAGTATCTACAGTTCCCCTCGGATAGATCCCATTTTCGGCCCATGCTTCCCCCCATCAGATCAGCAGTGGGAGCATGTATCAAACATGGCACCAGACACGGACAAGGAAATAAGTAGGATAGGATGGTAAGCTCGCGACTCTATAAGTGGAAAGTTGAGAGAGAAATCGGACAGAAGGAAAAGAAAGGGGTCGGGGAGGGCAGTGCGCATGCAAGCATCATGTTCAAGGCAATCATAAACATCCAGTGAACGGGCCAACGCAGCCAAAAAGAAATGGTAGTAGAGTATAAAGAGGTCCGCCGCACGGTAACAGAAACAAGGAAACTCGTCACCCGACTCGGCTGACGCTTGTGGTCAGGAGTCCTCATGCCTAAATGTACTTTTGTTTATCTCCGTTTCACTTCCATCGCCCATCCGTCAATGCCCTCGCCGCGGCTGCCGGGCGTTATGCCCAGATCAATCCCGTCCATACCGGGTGTATCCCGCATCCATTCGTGGGATGCCATGCCGCCGGCATTAGCGCGCCGCTCCGGGGACACTTCGAGCATTGGCAGCAGGAACTCGCTGATGCGCATGCTTTCCTCGACCGAGAAATGATACTTCTCCCGCAGCACATCCGGCAGGGCCCAGTGGCGTAACCGGTGGATGTTGCGCAGTTCGCCTTTGCGGTTGAAAATCTCCTGCGACCACTTGCCCGAGAGACAGAGAGACTTCGGGAACGGTCCCAGAAGCTCAATGATCTGCGCGATGTGATCGTCGTCTTTACCATACTTGGTACCTGATTGCGGATCGAAAAGATAGTCGCCAGTGATGAGTTCGAATACCTGCAGCAATTGGTTAGATTTTAGTCGACTGACGGGTCTATCGGACATACCATGCAAGCCATACTCCATATATCTGTGCTCGCGCCCCATTTCGAACCCAGGATAACTTCGGGCGAACGGTACTGTCGCGTTTGGATGTCGTTGGTGAAATGATGGCCGACCCAGCAGGCATTGCCCAAATCGGCAATTTTCACGGAGATTATATCACATTCCGGCTCTTGCTCCTCGCTCGACTGAGACTTGTCGAGCGAAATGCCCGATACCTCCCGTTCCAGCAAATCACTGTAATCATTAGCCGTATCCCTCAGGAAACAAGAAGATAACATACGCAGTCTTTTCCCGTTGCTTCTGTTTCTCATCATCGTCCTTGATTCCGAGCATCTCCTTCATCGATGTACTTTCTGCATTGGGAGTCACTAGACCAGTCAGCAATTTCGTAGCAATGATGAGGCGACGGTACATACCAGACGACTCGCTGACCATCTGACTAAGACTGCTGTGGGAGTTTTGCGAACTGTGCTTAAAGTCGAAGCTGGTATTGAGCGGACTCGGCAGCGGTTGACTCCCAGTGATCAGGGTCCGGCGCCGTCGCCGACCATTGCGATTGTCTTCCTTCTGCTCCTTCTTCGCCTCTTCTTTGACGTATGTCTTCACGATCTGCTCCACGTCCCCGATCTCGATCAGCACGTTCTCCGGCTTCAGATCCGTGTGGATGATGCCACATTCCCGATGAAGGTAGTCCAATCCAAGCAGCACTTGTTTTGTGATCTGTTTCACCAAGGCCATGGGGATACCGCGGTGGTTCCATCGCTTGATCAACCCGAGCAAATTTTCTCCCAGCACTTCAAACACCATACACACATGGACTCCGTTGGGGCCCTTGTGCTCAAACGAGTCCAGCAGACTGACGACATGTTTGCGACCGGGGTGAGAGGGTTTAGCTTGGACGATGCGGTTCAACAGCTTGATTTCATCGATGGCGGTTTCGGTGTAGTGGGCAGCGGAACGGACGACCTTGAGGGCGACATGCTTCCCAGTTGTGGTATCGCGGGACAACCAGACAGTCGAAAAGTGACCCCACCCTAGCTTGCGCACGACCACATATCGACCATTGTTGTAGGTTTCACCGACGGAGACCGGGTGGTAACCACCCTTGCAGTAGTCTTCCGAGTCCTCTTCCTCTGCAGTGGTCTCGAGTTCTTCGCCAGAGGATGAAGAGGACGAGCGCGATGGTGGGACGCCGTATGCGGGAACCCTGCCACTCATGGCGGTTAGAAAGAATCAGGATGTGGCGGGGAAAACCAAAAGAAAGAGAAAGGCGGGAGGAAGGGAGCAAAGAAAACACGGGCAAGCAGGGAAAAGGAATCTAGAAAAAGAAAGAAAGGGTAAAAGCCATACCCCTCAGTGGTAGTGGAAGTGGTGGTGGTAGTGGTGGTCGCTGGGTCGACTCCAAGCGTGGCGGCTTCGTTGGTGACGATCGGCTTTAAGTCGGTCCCTTTTCTTCTCTTCTTACCGCCATTGCCATTGGTAGCGGAGGCAGCGACACTACTCGCCATTTGCTTCCCTTTATTGAGAACGGCCTTGGTGATATCAACCCCATCCATGATGCCAAAGAATTGCGACCGATCGGATCGGAAAATAACTTGGGGGGTCAAAGAAGGGAGATGCAGAGCAGAAGGAGTGGATGACGGGCGTCTCGTAGCGACAGGATTCAGCTGGAGTAAGTAAATGCAGTTGGTGGTGGTGGCCGGCGGCGGCGACAGCGGAGGAGAAGGCGGGTTGGCGCTGGACTTGGTTTGGTTTGGCCGGCTTTTGGTTGTGCGAATCTGAGGGGTTGGTTTGGGTTCAGCAGCGCCCACAAAAACGCCAATGCCAGAAGCAGCAGACACTTACTCACCTGAGGAGGGGAATCGGGGATAAGAGTATAGGAGATTGTGCACCGGGAGGATGGTGGTGGTGTTCACAATCGAGTAATTTCAAAGAATGGCCAACATGGACTCCAGAACATGGAAATGAAAGCCTAATACTACTATGAAACCAGTGCAGATGACTGGGGCTGGGCGGATGACGCAAACGATATAGACGGGGCGATTGAACACGATGGATGGAGCAGGAAGAGCAATGCAACGAGGGGCTGATCACTACTCGTAGATCCGGTAAATCTCACAACCCTTGAATTTCACCCAGTTGAAAGTCCAAAGGGGGGAAAGAGGAAAGGACCACAGGAATGGATAGAAGGGACGTGAAAGATCAATGATGGAGATCGACAAGGAATGTCCGCAAGCGTAGATGAAGAGAAGAAGAAGACGAAGAAGAGTTAGTTGTTGACCACCCACGCATGTGGCAAATCATGAATGGGCTATGGATCGATTCACCCGGTTGGGCCTGAGTAAAGTCTTCAGGCTCGAGTTTATACATCGGTCAACGTTGGGGGACCTCATGCTTTTGGAAGAGATGCTCTTTGGGCTGGACAATGGACTTGAACCGTTGAAAGGGACAAAACAGTGTCATCCGAGGGATAGATGGATGGAGGGCAAGGAGGAGAGGTTTCATTGTCTGTCTACATCCCCAGCCAGGGCTACGGTGTAATAAACGGGTACGGAAACAGAGACAAGACACTACTACTACTACTACTACTACTACTACTACTACTACAACCCGCACTTCGTCCTACATGGATTCAGGCACCTTATGACACTGTCAAATATGAAGTAGTATGCGCGTGGCATGGATGCGATCGAAGGAAAAACGTGGAGCAGCAGTCTGGGGGAATTTACCGATGCTGGGAAGGGATAGCGACCGGCATGAGACACGAGCGAGAGGCAAAGTACGATCAATCAATCAATCAATCCTCTCTGACTGACTGGAGTGGGACACAGGATCTAGACTTGATGTCACTTTCACGGCCCAGTGGATAAGCGTCCGATCGCCTTGCTCCAGCCGAGTCCCGGAGGAGGAAAGACAGGAAGATGCGAGACTACTTGCTTAGTGTCCGTCTTGTCCAGCTTTCTATTGCGGAGTCGATGATTCATTTTGCTGGCTCTGTCTTTTTCTGTTTCCCCTCCGTCGTGCACGTGATGTCTGTCCCCCTTGCGCCTGACTTCAAACCATCCGACTCGATGGACTGAAACTGATTCAGGAAACATCCATGATAAATCCTCCCCTTGGTACTACAAAGGAGACTAACACTTGTATACCACCGTCTGAGACACTGATAACGCGTCACCGTTGGAACCATATCTTACTCCATATCTCTTGTAGGGAATTCGATAAGACAAGGTATTATTATGAAAAGATACTATTGCAGGAACCTTCCCATTACTTCGTAAACTGTACCTGGGAGAAACCCACCACCACCCAATCGATCCCACGCAAATTGGCTGTACCAGTGCAAATGCTTCTGATTGGTGCCGGCAACTCCCCACCTCCGCCCAGCAGCGCATGAATCCACGTTAAGCTGCTTCAATCACCTGAACCTATGCCAACAACCACCACCACCACTACTACTATGGAATAACCACATACTATTCTTCTCTCCTCTCCTCCTTCACCTATACTTCCTCCCTCCTCCCTCCTAATACCAAAACACCTCCACCATGTCCACCCCCTTCCATCGCCGTCCTTTCCCCGACTACTTCCTCTCATCACCACTAGCAACTCTCATCTATCCTCTCCATCAACTCCTCAACCACCTCCGCGGTCCTCCTCACCTCCCACCCCCAAACGCCCGTCCCATCCGCGTCGTCTGCATCTCCGACACCCACACCCTCGAATACCCCGACATCCCCGACGGCGATCTCCTCATCCACGCCGGCGACCTCTGCAACGATGGCAGCGCCCGCGAAATCCAAGCCGCCGTGAACTGGCTGCGCAGTCTCCCTCACCCGCATAAAGTCGTCATCTGCGGCAACCACGACAGCTACTTCGACCCGCGATCGCGTCTCCCCGAAGACCGCAACGATGCCTCACCTCAAAACACCTCATCCTCCACATACGCCACCATCTCCTCCTCAACCGCCTCCCTCCGCTCCCTAGACGACTACCTAGCCGACGACCCTCATCCCCGCATCGACTGGGGCGACAACGACGACATCCACTACCTCCAACACTCCTCCATCACCCTCACCTTCCCACCTACCACCTCCACCTCAAGCATAACAAGCACCACCCCCCTCCGCCCCCGCACCCTAACCATCTACGGCGCGCCCCAAATCCCCGCCATCGTGCCCTTCGGCCCCGAACACGCCTTCACCTACCCCCCACACCACGACGCCTGGTCCAACACCATCCCCCTCTCCACCGACATCCTCGTCACCCATACACCCCCACAATCACGCCTCGACCTCTCCCCCGTCTACTCCGCCGGCTGTCCGTTCCTCCTCTCCGAGCTCTGGCGCGTACGCCCCGCCCTGCACGTCTTCGGCCACGTGCACGCCGCGTACGGCATCGAGCGCGTCTTCTACGATGAGGCCCAGCGCGCGTGGGAGCGACTCTGCGCGTCGAGGAAATCCCGCGCCCGTCTGTCGAGGTTCAGCTCCCTGTTCGGGTTCCTCCGGGATCTGTTCGATCTCTCGGGCTTGGTGGATTCGGCGAGAGTGGTGATGTATGGTGTTTTGGGGGTCGTTTGGGCGAGGGTCTGGGGTGGGGAGAATAGGGATGCGGGGTGGGTGGTTAACGCTGCTTGCATGTATAGGGATTCTGGGGTGTTGAGGAATAAGCCGCAGGTTGTGGTTTTGTAGGTTGGTCCATCACTCGTTTGAGTGGTTTGGTGATGTGGAGTGGTAATGGGATATATTATTATTTTCCATGTCGATTTCCTTGTATATAGGGGTGAGTCTAGAGGGGATGGTAACCGATGAGAACGTTGTATGGGGTGGTATTGTAAATAATTGCCGGGATCAGACTCGGCCAACTTAAGAAAGAGAATCATTCCAAGATGCTGGTTTCATGAATACGAATGTTATCCTACTACATAAATACCATGCGTAGTATGTAAACAAACCCAAAAATGTACAGTCTTGTTTATAGGCTAAAACGGGGGGTATATAGTATATACACAAAATGCAGTGATGTATATGTATCAAATCTGCAATGAAAAAAAAAAAAACAAGAAACTCGAAAACACAAAACAGCATCTATCCCTCTATGCAAACAATCACAGCTTCGCCTTCTCGCTGAACCGAGGCGCCTGGAGAGGATCATAAGCACCCGAGGTGAGAGTATCCGACGGCACAGTGGCATGATGACCGCCCACCAGGCCCCGCACGTCAATCAGACTCGGGTTCAACTCGTCGATCTTGGTGGCGCCGATCAGACGCATGTTCATCTCCATCTCGTCCTTGAGGAGCTGCATGGCGCGTTCCACGCCGGGCTGGCCGTACGCCGACATGGCGTACAGGAAGGGGCGGCCAATGCCCACGCCCTTGGCGCCGAGGCAGAGGGCCTTCAGCATGTCGGTGGCACGACGGATCCCGCCGTCGATGTAGATCTCGATCTTGTTCTCCCAGCCGCGCTCGCGGAGGATGGGCATGACCTCGGCGAGGACTTCGATGGCGGAGCGGGCAAACTCGAGCTGACGACCGCCGTGGTTGGAGAGGACGACACCCTGCACGCCCATTTCGACGGCACGGAGGACGTCCTCGACGCACTGGACACCCTTGAGGAGGATGGGCATCTTGGTGATGGATTGGAACCAGGGGATGTCCTTCCAGGACAGAGCGGGGTCGATGAAGGAGGAGATGGCGCGGGCGGCGCCCTGGGAGCGGTCGACGGAGCTACCGCCGCTGGCCTGTACGTTGGAGCCGACGTCGGAGAACTTGGAGCGCATGTCTTTCTCACGACGGCCGAGTTGGGGAGCATCGACGGTGATGAAGAGACCCTTGCACCCGCGGGCTTCGGCGTGCTGGACAATGCGCTTAGTGATATTGCGGTCCTTGTTCACGTATAGCTGGAGCCATTGGACCTGGTCGCCTTGACGGGCATCGACGATCTCGTCGAAGGAGCAGGAGGCCAATGTGGGAATCATCTGGATGACATCGTGGGAGTGTGCGGCACGGGTGAGGACAACTTCACCCTCCGGGTTGCCCAGCTTTCCGAGGGCGGTTGCGGTCACGTAGAAAGGCACCGATACCTTGGTACCGAGCATGGTTGTGGAGAAATCGACATGCTCGACGTCAACGAGAACTCGGGGGCGGAACCAAATCTTGTGGAAGGCAGAGTGGTTTTCCCGCATAGTCTAGATAGGCTTGTGGTTAGTATATGCTGGTGGAAGACGAATGAGACATGACCTACAATTTCGTCGTCTGCACCGCTAGAGTAGTAGGCCCATGCGGTCTTCTTCATCACGCTGCGGGCAACAGTCTCAAAGTCCATCAGGTTGTAGCAAGCCGCCAAGGAAGGCATGCACTTGATGCGCTCCTGGCGCGCCTCCTCCTCGGGATCGGCAGTCTTCTCCTCTTGTTCAACGGTGGTCATGTCAACTTCACCGAGATGCTTGGAAGAATCGAGGTACTTGTCGAGGGTGTCGGGCGGGTGGATGGGGTCGAACTCCTCGGTCGCATCCTTGCCGGCATACTTGAGGATAATCTTTTGGCCACCCGGGTGCTCTGGATAATGTCAGTAACAGAAATATATAGTAGTAGTGAGGACTATATACATACCTGGCAGAAATTCGGTCACATCGTAGGCCTTTCCATGGACAATGACCCAGCACGAGTCCTTGGAGTTGTGTTCGGCGACAGCAGCGCCTGTGAGCTTGCCTTTACTCATAGTGGCGTGGTAGGGTGGGATGGAGGTGATTGGAGAGGCAGAAGATTGAGGAGAGAAGAGGAGAAAGGGTGGAACAAGAACTGCAGGGAAGAAGGAGAGGAGAACGGAGATGTATATGAAGGAAAAGACGTATCGCCCGAGAGAGGAAGAAAGAGAGAGAGTAGGAGGAAAGATGAATTAATTGTTGGAAATGCAACCAAACCAGACCTCGGGTTAATGGGGAGCGAAAGCCTATGGAGCGGCGGGCACAGAAAATCGGCAGGCGGTCGTTGGTCGATCGCGTTAAGCTCAAGAAGGCGGGGGGAACCAGAACCGTTCAATCCCTTTGCTTCGGGTGACTGCGCGCTTTTTCTCGGCCGACTGCTTTCGGTCAGGGACCACCTCGGCTGTTTGGCAACCTTTATCTACGCTGGTCATCGTGTCGGCAGTTCGGAAGTTTTGACGAACCGTATGAATCAATGAATTCTTGGTTTGCCTGTGAGCGATTTGTTCGATCAGGGTGATATGTTGGTCAGACATGACGCTCGAGTGCAAGATATGCACAACCTAGGGAATCGAGCCTAGCGCAGTTTAGAGGCAACGGCGGCTTCTACGAGTACTAGTAGTACTTACAGCATTAATAATACGATGATCTTGATGACATTCAGGTATCAGTCTAAATCGCGCTTATCTGAACCTTAATATATTAATATTCAAAGAGGACCTTCAGGCAGGACAAGATTGTACAACGTCGAGCATATAACATTATGATTAGATAGTAAGGCAACCTGAACCATTAGTTGAGAATTGCTGAGGACAATTGGGTACTATGCTGGCTGCATGCATACAGCATCATGTTCACCTTATTGGGACTTATTTCTTGTTAGGAGCCCTTCATTGTACATCAGTCACCAAAGTGTAGATAAATCACATAATTGCATAAATTCATCCATGTTAAGTATCAACCATCATGCCATCTACTATATCTCGCCGGCCAAATTTCAAATACAAACGGAGGGTGCCTGCACCTTTTATCATCAAGAATCAACCAAAGAACAACCAAGCGATGCTCAACACGCTGCAATCATCCAAATCACATGCACACAACCCATGCAAATGCCCAGCATATATGCCAAGCATGAAAGAAATAGCGGCAAAATATCGCACAATGCAAGCAAACAACGCCGCCAAGCTTCATAATGCAGTCAGTCAGTCATCATCGTGGAAGTCAAATGCAGAACAAATAAGAGACCGAAACATTCATCGTCATCAGATCATCAGAACCAGCAGGAGATAGTAGCTCAGCAACACTGTCCTCCTTTGCGCTTAGGACCTTCCACAATATCTTCCAATTCATCCCCAACACTACTAGGCGGAAATCCCAACCAACTGCGGCGTTTGTCCCCGTACCCCAGGCGGAAGCTCCCATTCCCATCGATATTTCCAGGGGTCAGAGATGACGTCGTTCCATCAAACACTGTCGACGATCGCTGCGATGAACTTGTTCCCGCTTCTCGCTTATTACGCTGCTCGACCAGCTTTCGCGTTATGACACGAAATACCTCCTCGATACCCTCACCATCCTTGGCGCTAATCTCATGGCAGCAATCCCACCCGATATCCTGGCCCCAGAACGCACTACTGCGCTTGCTATCAACGCCTGCAAGTGTGCTGGATGAGTGCCCGCCCAAGCCGGCCGTCGCGGGTGGTGTGGATGCTTGTGTTGGGTAGAGCTGCTCGGCAACATAGGCGATTGTGCGTTCGAAGGGGACTTTTCGCCGAGAGGGATCAAGGGTAACAATATCGGTCTTTGTTCCGACAACGTGAATCACAATGGGGTCGTCTTCGACAAGGTTCTTCTTCAATTCCGCGAGCCAGCCGGTCATTTCTTGGAAGCTTTGCTCGTCGGTGATGTCGTAACAGAGAAGGCAGGCATTGGCGCCGCGGTAGTAGAGACGAGAGATGCTGCGGAAACGTTCCTGGCCGGCTGTGTCCCAGATCTGAAGTCGAACGATGGTATCGGAGGCGCTGTCGAGGACGCGTTTGGTCACAAAGGAGGCGCCCACAGTCGAGGCTGTAGCGGAGGGGTTGAAGTCGTTCTTGACATAGCGATCGACAAGCGAGGTTTTGCCGACGCCTGGACGGAGTTAGTCGGGTGGAGTCTGAGAGGAGAGAGGAGGGAGAAACTGACCTTGGGCGCCGAGGACAACAATTTTAGCCTCGAGAGAAGAGCTCATGGCGGGGTAGAGGCTAAGGTGGGGTACCCGGAGAGCTGGATTTGCATGTTCCAGCGGATAAATTATCGCTCGGACGGATGAGGGATTCAGGAGGCGTTGAGGACGGGACTTGGTGAACAAAAGAAGAAGAAAGGTTTGGAACAAAGGCGAGGAGAGGGTTGGGGACGTGGGGAGAAAGACAAGAGGGAAGGAAGGGAAAAAAGGGAGAGAGAGAAGGGCAGCGTTGAAAGAGCGAAAACAAGAAAAGGGAGGGCGCGGGAACGAGGCTCAAGGAAGAAACAAGTTAACCACAGCCATCCAGCCAAAGCGATGGATTCAAGCCGGCATGACAGGGCAGTGCGCGGATCAGCCGATCACTTACGAACCTCCACCCGATCAGGTGTTCGTCTTATTTGTTTGTCGAGTGAATGTCTCTGAGGGTTAGTGAGGAGAACGAGGACAGGTAGAGGGGATGGAAGAGGATGAAGGAGGAATCAAATCAGTCACCGATGAAGAATGATTCAGCCCCAGCTGAATCATTCAGCATGATCCTTCTTGGCCCCTTACGTGCTTCCTGGCCTAGCCCCATTGTTTCAGCCACAGACTCTATCAACAGGCTGAAAATCTTATAGCACTTAGCAGTACTTTGTACCTCGTGTTCGTGCTCTCTCACGGCAACCCCGGCTGTCAAGGTGTCAGCCATGCATTGCCTGGGTTATGACAGGTTGGGTTGAAGCAGGTCTTCTGTCCACCGACGCAATATATTTCCTTTCAGCCGCAAGTCCCAAGAGTCTGGGTCTGTTCAGGGCACAGGCCACTGGATGGTACCACCGTCCCTAAAGCATTGATAGTGCACAATGGTGGCTTCAGTATCTCTTTAGTTCGTCCTGCCTAAGTAATCAGCGACCGTGCACTTGGTCCTCCGCTGACGGGCGGCACCTTGCAACTCGCAATATCCAGATGGGACTCCATGCGATGATTTCGCTTTCTATGTATTGCAGTTGATTGAATATTTGGATACCAGCAGGTATATTTGCTCGATTTGCTTGTCACATACTGGATGTCTCTTACTGGCGCTGCTAATATCAGGCTGGATGGGAACATCGAGCGTGGCAATTGGATTAGCGATCATATCATAACCATATGACGTTCTATGCCATGAAATTATTCCACTTGCTGGGTAAAATGAAAAGCAACATAAGGACATAGTACAGAAACCTCAGGCTTGTGAGTCCTGGTCGCCAGCACTCGGAGTAATTACATGAGATGGCGTTAACTAGTATCTGATTACCTGACAAAGTATTTACAAAACAACAATAAAAATTATTGTTATAAAATAAATGAGCTATATGTCCTCAGCTAGTATTCAGCTCCGTATATTGTTGTGTTGTGACGAAACAAGAGTGGTGCCATAAGGTGTGCTTTGATACTAATATTGCCTGATCGGGAAACCTCATATAATCAACAGCACTACCCTATGGAGCACTTACTGTATCTATGTAATGTAAAACAATTCCATCCTTAACTCCGAGCATAGATAGTACTATTCAAGTATGTATGTTCCGAATCGCTTTTGGCTCGTTAAATCCCTACTATGTTAGGCAACCTCAATACCTCGCTGACCTATGACCCACCTCTCGCAAAACAAAGCCAAATGGCAGTTAAGCTCAATTGACCCGACTGATGCATACGATCGCACATCCATTTCCTGAATATATATCAACTGAGTGGATTATCAATTGGCTAGTATCGGTTTTTCGTAGTTCCATTTGAGACCATCGACAATGGAAACGACCGAGGCTAATATGGGATTGATCCCCGCACGCATTGTTAACAACCCAGGAATACTAGCACCAAGACAATTTCTCCAGAGGAATAATCCGATTGCTTTTCTTGATTGATTCAAGTTGGATTGGAAGCGTAGTGAGTATTCAGTATTCGTAAAAGACCGATAGTTAAAATAATCCAGTTGCTCCATGTTGACACAGAGCCAATGATGCCGCTCCAATGCGGAAAATATATCCCTCACAACCTAAGTTGTCATGTTGCCCAGCCAGAACCACAATGTGCTCTTGTTGAATTCCATACAACTAAAACATCATGTTCAGTTCACGCTACTACTCTCAACTACTTATTAATCTCTTCTGTTCGATATATAAATACAATAAATTAACTGAATGAGCTCGAAAGCTAAATACTCATAGATCAAAAAGCATGGACGCTGTCATACTGCTTAACATCACATGCTCATAGCCGGGGTAGATCGTCGCACGATAAGCAGTGTCACCACGCGATAATAGTATGTACCGCAGACCATAAGTACCACCGCAGTACCCAGCCTGATTGAACATAGCCCCAAGGGATGATTGTCAATAATGCGAATTGATGCCATTGGATTTCGGAATTGGCTACTGCGCTCATTCTACACAAACCTGAGAGTGGTGTCTTATCCTGCTAATGTGTAGATAGGCGCTCGTATAGACGCTCGTATACTAGCACAGTTTAATATTATTCCATGTTATAGGCCACGGTAGACATAATGGACAATTCTGCAGACATAATTCCGTCCACTGATGCATGGACGAATAGACGGATTGGCAGGGATCATGTGGGGGTGAAATTGAATCTGATTGATTGATTGATACGCTTATGTGCTGAGACAGCTACTGAGTTACGTACCTCAGTAAGCTTCTAGGTTAAGCTCTTCGCTACTACGCCGTAAGTGATAGATCATTTGCATGCAATCCTTCGAGCGGAAAGGGTGATTCTCGAATCTGGGGTTGTCCTCTGGGTTGGAAATGCCTGAGGCGCAATCAGAACAGCCCAGTGCAATATTCATCATCCCTCAAGTATGAGCAATTGCATATGGTAAAAGAAAAGAAAACCAAAGACAGTGGGGTAATTGATTGCTCGTCAATGAATTGACCCTGCAGCTGGTCGATGCTTGGTTGCTTGGCATACTCAGATCCTTGCCCTCTATGGCAATATTGTCGGCAACGACAAAGACAACAAAACCCACTCATTGTTTTGTTATGAGTTCAGACATTGATCTTTGATTCAGATTTCTTTGGTTGTAGGGTAATATAGACATCTACCATGATGTCAGTCATACTCTTACTTTGTTTAGTGAGATGATCAGTTTCAACACTGCTTTGCACCGCTCTCACTGGTAATCATAGTGTAAATTACAAGGTAAAAACAGCGAAAAACGGCAGCAACACAGCCCTGCTGACGGGTGGATATTCAGGGTTCAGCCGGGAGAAGCCAGCTGGCCAGTAGGACTGGCCCGAGTGGTGGGACGTTTGAGATAGACTCGGTGGCTGTGGATCGTAACCCGATTAGAGACGGGATGGGATCGGACTTGCCTGCCACTGTCACTGTCACAATGTTTTCTGACAGCGCAAGTTGCCGGACCAGGATGAATTTCACTGGCTGCGACAGAGATGATCCTCATTGGAGGCGGGGGTTATGGTAGTATTCTTCACGGAGAAACTTTGCTGCTTTTGCGACCGGTCTAATGCATGGAGAGTCGGTTAGTATCCTTTGGACCCTGGCGATAATGTGATTGTCGCACGGAGCCCGACGGATTATTTTTCTGCTGGGGGGGGGGATCGGCAGTGGATGGGGAGAGGAGAGAAAAGGAAAGGAAAAAATTCAAGCGAAACCTTTAGCGAAGATAATGGAAAATCCATGCGAGGGATCCATCTGAATCAGGGATTGTATTGTACTTCTACTTTAAGTAAACATCTGAAACTAGCAAGAGGCTGATGCTTTTATCTGCTTCCTTCATACTATGGTTTAAAATAGGACGAGGGCGAGAACAATTACTATTTAGACACTACTCCATCCTCGACAAAGCTTGATCCTTCGCGCCCGAGTCTAGAATGATGACCGAGACTATTTATACCGACAGGTCTGAAACACTTTTGGGATTATTGTTTTACCCGACTCCATAGTAATCTCGCAGTTCATATCCCCGAGTAGGAAGAAGTACTAGTCTAACTGCCTGCCTGCTATTTAGGCTACCATGTAAGTAACAAGCCTTGTTCACATACCGTATGTAAGTAATATATCACCGGTAATTCAAGTAAATGGTAAGAATCCCTGATGATCCCGCCCGGAAACCCACCAATCGGCGCCAAGCGCCCCCCCAGGGAGATAAGCCTCCAGCGGGCGGGCGTCCGTCAGAGTCAGCAAAGTCGCTGCCCGTTAATTCAGAGTTTATGAAATTATTTGCATTTCAATTTTCCATCGTTCGGCTGTTCTTTCCTGTACTTCCCATAACCCCGTACCTGGTAACAATCCCGTCGTCGTCTTGTTAATTTCACCAAACCAACCTAAACACTAAACCCCTTCGTCGGATCTTTCTTCCCACGTTGCCTGTTTCTCCTTCTCTCGCTCTCTCTCGCTTTCGCTTTTCTCCTCCTTCTCCCTCTCTCTCCCCCTTCCTTTCCTCCCTTCCAATCCCATTCGATAGTCTCAGCCTGGGCTTTTCGCAGGCGCGTTATGAAATGAGACTATCCTACCGGATTGGTGCGGCTGCACTTATCATCCTCGCCATCATCCTTATTAAACGCCACCTCGATCTCGTTCAGGATGATGCGCGCGTTCAGTCCGGCTGGAGTTTCAGCTCCTTCTCCGCCGAATCTGCAGCGGATGGCAGCAGCAGCAGCAGCAGCAGCAACAATGTGAACAGTGGCAACGACGGGGCGTCGACTCCGAAGAACTCGAAACCAATTCTTACCGGCAACGACAAGAGCAACAGCAATGGCAAAACCAAAGGGTCCTCCGACGATTCGGCCGTCTCTCGGCCGCTCTACGAAACCACTCCCATTATCGTCCCGAATGATCGCGTTATCGTCATGGCAAAATTATCCACCGAGGACACCAGCTGGGTTAGCAATGATCTGGCCGAGTACGTATTCTCCTGAACCTCACAATCAAACCAAATCTCTAACCATTACGAATCACCAGATGGCGCAACGTCATTTATACCGTCGACGACGTAACCGCATCCCGACACACCCCCAAGAACAAAGGTCGCGAATCCCTCGCCTACCTGCAATACATCGTGGACCACTACGACGACCTCCCCAGCACGATCGTCTTCATCCACAGCCACAAAGACGGCTGGCCCGGAGCCTGGCACACCGACACCATGGCCTACAGCAACGTGGATTCCATCCGAGCCTTACAAACCGACTTCGTGCAACGAAACGGCTACGTCAACCTCCGGTGCCAGCAGACGCCCGGCTGTCCCGATGAGATTCGTCCCTTCCGAGACCCCCCGCAATTCGGAAAGACGGCGGAGCGTGTGTACGCGCAGGCGTGGGCGGAACTTTTCAACAACACCGACGTACCGGAAGTGGTTGGAGTAGCGTGCTGCTCGCAATTCGCTGTGTCGAGGGAACAGGTCCTCAAGCGGCCATTGGAGCAATACACATGGTTCTACGACTGGGTGTTGAATACGGGCTTGTCGGATGATCTGAGTGCCCATGTGATGGAGTATACATGGCATATTATTTTTGGGAAGGATCCGGTCTAGTAAGTCCCCTCCCCCCAACCCCTTTACTCTAAGATTATTGGAAAAAGCATAAAACTAACAAGAAATATAGCTGCCCCGACGCCTATCAATGCTACCAAGACGTCTACGGCAATCCTTATTTCTGGTGATTTCCGTCTGAACTGTAAAGAATACCCCCTCTTGTTTCTCATGGCTTTGCGGGCTGCTTCATTATTTTCCTTTCTACATTGTAATCTTTTTTTCTTCATTCCGATTTTGATTTCCATTTTTTGGCTCCGGATCTGACGACTCACGTGCGTAACTTTGGTTGTTATGCTTTGCTTAACTTGCTTTTTTCTTGGTCTCGAGGTGTTAGCTTGTACATGATTGGGAATTTCTTGGTTGAAAAAGTCGTCTCGTTGAGCAATATACATTATGTGGAATTATTATCATCTTTTTTATTGAGTTATTGTGTTTGGATCGTAGGGTATATTACTATGCAGTACTCTTAGAACCATGAAAAAAGAAGAAAAGAGGTATCAGATTACTACTTCCTACTTAAACTAACATCTACCCAACTCACCAGCTAACAAACCCCACAAAGCAAATAAAATCTACCCCAGTCTATCTTAAGATATATCTACCAAGCCAACCGATCCAACACCCCACCAGGCCACCTCCTCACCCCAGCCTTCCGCAACTCATCCAGGATAAGAATTCCGAGGCCAAAAGCAGCAGGCAGGAAATAATGTTCCACGGGAACACTACTCGTATCCAACACCCTCTGCAACGGCGGGATATACAACCAGAAGACGGCCATGGCCAAAGCGAATAATATTGCTGGGAAGAGAAGCAGATTCTGGGTCTGTTTGTTGAAGGCTGGTGGGTGGGAGAAGATGGAGAGACGTCTGGTTCGGACGGCCATGAGGTTGAACCATTGCCTGTTTAAATTTGATTATTGTTAGTGTGGGGGTGGGTAGAGGGTGGGGATAATTGGGGATGCGTACATGACTACAAGGTTGATGAAGTAAACGGAGCTTGCTTCGTTGAGTCGAGCATTGAGCCAGTCGGAGTCGATGTTGTTTGGGGTAGCGCCGAATTTGAACCAGAGGGCTGAGAAGGGGATCCCGTTGCGTTCGAGGTACCAGAAGGCCATGGCGAAGGAGGCGATGGTTTCGATCATGCCGAGGATGCCGTAGGCGTGGAAGATTAGTTTCCAGTTCACGAGGCGGTTTTGTTTCGGTTTGCGGGGTGGGCGGAGGAGGACGTCGGCTTCGGGGGCTTCGTAGGCCAGGACGGTTGCTGCGGCGCAGTCGGTGAAGCAACTGCGTAGGAGTGTATGTGAGTAGGGGGGATGGGGGTGTGTGTGGAGGTGGTATGTGTGGGTGTAGTGCTTACCAGATGATTATCATCAGGAAGGAAGAGAGGACTTGAGGAAGACCGAACACCACGCTGGTGAACACGGGCCAGAACTCGGAGAAGGAACCGGCTGGGAGTAGATAGACGATGGTTTTCTTTAGGTTGTCGAATACTACGCGGCCGTATTGCACTGCTTCGACGATGGCTGAGAAGGATTCCATCAATACCATGTCTGATGCTTCGATGGCTATGTCGGAGCCGCTTCCCAGAGCTATTCCGATGTCTGCTGCTTTGAGGGATGGTGCATCGTTGACTCCATCGCCGGTCATGCCGACAATTTCATCGCGAGCGCGGAATTCACGGACGATACGCAGTTTCTGCTCTGGAGTGGTGCGCCAGAAGACGATCTCTTGGTACTGACATAGCTGTTCCCACTGGTGGTCATTCAAGCTCATGAGTTCAGCCCCGCTAAGTGTGATTGCGGTAGTAGATGGTGTACTAGGTGGCTTTTCATCGTAGTCAGGGAGCCGTTTCAAGGACGAGGCAGTGTCGACTGGACCGTGAGTGGTGACGATACCGCATTGTCGGGCGATGGCGAGAGCAGTGAGCCCATAATCACCAGTCACCTATGTGCGTGGTTAGTAGAGAATTAAGCTTCCATATGGAATATCTTACCATGAAGATGCGAACTCCCGCGCGCCTCAATGTTCTGACCACGTCTGGAATCTCCTCTCTCGGGGGATCAACGATGCCTACCAGGCCGACGAGAACCAAGCCCGTTTTTGCATGATTCATGACCTCGGATTCGAATTCTCTGGACGAAGGAAGAGGCATGATATCTGAAGCTGGGAGGACTTTACGTGCAAGCAGGATCACGCGTTTGCCTTCGCTAGACCACTGATCCTTGACATATTTGATGTGAGCCAGTATTCTTCCGTCCAGAGGCAGCACACTTCCATCTGTGTCTACGATCTGTGTGCATCGCTCAATCAAAATGTCGGGTGCGCCCTTTATAGTAAGGAGACTGAGATGATTAGCACCAGCAGTGACTGGGGAAAGGGTGGACTAACGTATCGTTCCGCTTGAACTGAGCTGATTCAGCTGCGGACATTCCAAGACTCAATCCTGCGGACTCGACGAGACTGAAAGTCCTGATCATAAACTTATTCTTGCTGTTGAATGCCAGTTCGTATGTCTTCCGCCAAGTGCGCCGCAGCTCTGCAACAGAACCAAGGCCTTCAGAGAACCTCAAGACGGCCTGGTCAGTTGCATCACCGTGGATTTCCCTCTCGTGGAGGGGCTGGTTCATAGACGAGGCATCGAACTCTGCTGCATTGCAGAGGCCAGCAATACCACGAAGCTGATGTATTCCAGTTTTCCTTCCCTTGATCACCATTTCGTCTCTCGCTAGCTCTGTGCTGAAACGAGACATTGAGAGAGCGCAGTCGGTAACAAACATTTTGTTCTGTAGCCAGACAATGTGTTAGGAAGGGCTAGTGACTGATCATACAGAACTTACCTTTGTTAGGGTTCCAGTCTTGTCGGAACAGATCACAGAAACCGCACCCAATGTCTCGACCGTCTTCAAAGACTTGCACAGGATTTTGTTCTTGCTCATGAGATTGGCGGTAATGGTCAAGTTCGCAGTCAAGGCGATTGGCAAGCCTTCTGGAATAAAAGCAATCGCAACACTGACACAGTCGACGATCAGGGTTGGCACGTTAATCCAGCCGGGATGGTCGACTCGGAGCCATGTAGCCCTGTAGAGGTCAGCAGGTATGAATAGAACTATCAGAAACCGCCTACCAAACAATGATAACGATGATAATCATCGTGAGCATAATGAGAACGATCAGCAATACAAAGCGCAAGACTTCCTTCTCGAGGGTAGTCAGTCCTTTCTTGGGCTCGCTTGTCAATTTAGCAATCCGGCCAAAGACAGTCGAGTCTCCAGTAGAGACAACGACACCGACTGCACTCCCAGTGACGCAATGCGTTCCCTGAAGTCCAATGCAGTGGGTTTCAAGGTAGTTGTCATCCGTGGAATCGACAGTCCCGTTGACTGGCAGCGACTCGCCTAAACAATCCATTAGCTCATGCTTCCAGCTCCTCAGACAGTATCTTACCAGTCAAGATAGACCGGTCAAAGCACACATCATTGGAGACCTCAACCAAGCGCACGTCTGCAGGTAGCTTGTTTCCCGCTTTAAGATGCACCACGTCTCCAGGGACAATATCCGGGGCAGAGACTACGACCAGAGAGCTGTCACGGAGGACTAGACAGCTCTCGGGTAACATTGCGGTGATTGAAGCCATGACCCTTGAGGACGACCAGTCCTGCCACGCATTGAAGCCTGCCTGAATGAAGAACACAGCCAGCAGGACAATGGCCAAGGCAAGGTTTGCCGGAGCGGGAGGCTGTCCCAAGGGCTTCCAAGAAATGAATACAAGTATACAGCCGATCAGTAGAATGCCCCCGAAGCCCTTGAAGAAATAGCCAAAGATCTGCCAGAACCATTGATGTGGTAACGGAGACAGAGCATTCTTCCCAAACTCACGGACCCGCTGCTGGACCTGATCATGCGATAAGCCTTGAGAGATATCGACGCGCCATCGCTTCTGTATTTCCTCGGGCGAAACCATGTGCCAGTCGAGATTGGACAGATCTAGGAAGCTATCGTTAGCAAGGAAGGCCCTGAAGGGATCAACAGCTGAGTGGTCTAGTACCGGTCGCGACATTGCTTTTAGTCTTTGCAGCCTCCGCTCGTTCACGGTCTCTCGCCTCATCGATATCAAATGAACTACCCAAATGATGTCAGAGCTCAACGAACGTTTATCAACACCGAGTGCAGCACTGACACTGTACGATAATGAATTGGCAATGAAAGGGAGGGATCAACGGTCGCTCTTCGTGCGCGACTGCGAGCAGAGCTGTTGGATGCCACTGATGTCGTTCGCGAAAGCTGCAGAGGGTCTCTTCTGGCTGCTACGCCTTTCTCTTCGTCACCTTCTTGCCAGCGGAGACGAGTCGCTTCGGCATTGAGTGACACGCCTGACTTCGCATCCATCTTAATGAACTAGAGGAGCTCAGTTCAGCCGGTTGAGGGGAAGACAACACCACGCGACAAAGATCAGAACAGAGCAGAATAGAACGCAAGAATATTTGGTGTGCGGCAATTTAAACTCCCACTGTGCCCGCCAGCTTTTATAGTTAGAAGTGGAGGCTCGGACTGTCAACCACGCGCAAGGTCTGTGCGGATGCCATGCGAGCTTTGCCTCATGACAGATTGATAGAAACCCCAGGGCCGATGACACCTGCGGGTTTTACCAGAACCAGTGGTTGAGGAAGTTTGGACCGGAGGATGGAGCGTGGTTGAGATCAGTGGCTTGGGTAAATCCCTCAAGCGTGTCAAAGACGGCGGACTACTGTTTAGCACTAACCCTCACCCCTCAACCAGCCATTAAGTCCCTCACTCTGATCACTTCTGGTAACTCTAGCCTACACAATGTAGCTGCCTGTTAGATCATTTAATTTGTTTCTGAGGGAAAAACTGTGCAGTGAATAATAAAATCCTGTCATTCTTAGACACCGACCACCCTTGGCCGAGAAAGCTGAATCATTGTCTACAACACCAGGGCATGCAAAACATGAAACATCAAGCTGGTTGCTGCTGCTAGGGGTAGTATTATTACTTGCCAGTTCCACACACTTTCGCGTTCTTTCTTCTCTAGAACTTGCTGCGTACTACTCTGTTGCAGCAGTGGTAAAGGAAGATAATCCACTCGTGCCGTACGCGAGGTGATCGAAGTGAGCAAGCCAATTCCCGTTCCATGGAAGCGTGAAAGAAACACTTGATTTAGCCTGAGCATCCAGCTCGTTGCCGCTTCTATGCGGACCGCACACTGTGAGATGAGGAAAAGACCCCTGGTTCTGCGCTTACGTGAATCTTCCCAAGCCTTCAACATTGGAGTGAGTCGATCTTCCGTATACAAAGGAGTGGACCCGCGGGCGAAGAAGACTAGATGGTTCGCAAGCGATGCGGCGGATTCAATGGCGCAATTGGCACCTTCTGCTATATTCGGTGCCATCTATACATCATTGTCAACTACCCTAACAAGACGCATTCAAGGCGTGCGGGTTACCTTGTGTACCGCATCCCCTATTCCTACAAACCGGCCCCAGGACCATCTATTTTGGAATCCCTCTTCCAGTGACGCCACAACGCATGTCTCAGAGCAGTTGAAGACTTCGCCAAACGTGACATCTCTGGTGACATGCTTCTTCAGAAACGGTTCGACGATCCTGGATACATAAGCGCGGTCGGAAGTATGGCGCGGGATCAATACTGGCATCATTGTGCGCGCAATCGACATAAACCAGCAGACTCTGGCATCTGCTCCCACCATAATAACCGTTAACCAGCCATGTCCATAAGTCCGATGGACGTCTCCTCTATTCAGCTTGGGAATTGACTGAGCGATACCGAAAACACCAGCGAAGGAATCGGTCAAGGGAACCTCGGAAAACCAGCGAGAGCTGGCAACAGCCCCATTGGTTGCACGGATATGATGCCACATCTGCTCACGCACAATGCTATGAACACCGTCCGCGCCAACCACCAGATCCCCTAAAACACTCATTCCATCTGCGCTGTGCACCGTAACATTATCCGGAGATGACACTATGCGGACGACCCGCCGATTAAAGAACAGCCGACTGCTCCGAAGGCGAGTATATAAAATGCCTAGGAGTGCCCGTCGGGCGATAACGAGGACAGGATAATCAAATCTACCCGAAGTCAGTCCACAATCTCTTTCAAAATCATAATCGCCGCATACCGTCCGAAAGATCGAATTCGTCCCGCATCAACTCGTCGCAAGAGGTGTCCGGTTTCAAGCCAAGTGCTGTGCGATACCATGCATTGACCTTGGTCCAGCACGTCTTGATACAGTCCCAACTGATCAAGAATCCGGGCGCCATTCGGAAGGATGGCAAGCCCAGCACCATCCGGGTATGTATCGGATCTCGCTTCGAGAATGGTGAACTCGATTTCGGTGTTGGACAAACAGTGGGCGAGAGTCAGGCCGGCGATTGAGGCACCCACAATGATAACGTGGAACGGCCGTTGACTGTTGGGTTTGGACATTGCCGCAATTCTGAGGCGGGCATGGTCTAGGAATTTTGCCAAATAGCTAGAGGGTCATGACGAAGAAAGAATGGTTATAATAATAGTTGAGCATGTTAGTGATAAGCGTAATCAGGTGGACATAGTAATATCCTTGGACTTGGGATCAGGAACCCCAATGTTCCATATAAGGAGCTCTGCTGGAACATTATCGACTGGGACATTCTGTCTGGTCACAGGCCACGGAATGGCAGGTACGACCGGTAAACGGTCAGGTCGTGGCTACATCTGACCGCTTGTGCTACTCGGGTAGAAGCAGAGATGAAGGACGTAAGCTCAGACATCTGCACATGCTACGGTCAGTATGGCTCCCCACAGGCCTGATTAGATATCATTCTAATAAAGTAGTGTTGTGTATGAACCTCTGTCCCTGGTCGCATTCCTCGCAAAAGATCGAGATACCCTAATCTCTTCAGGACGATACTTATGGATTATAATAATCCTGCCATAAGTCTCGAGACAACTTCAAATGGTTATCTATTAATCGCTAATCCTCATTTCTGGGATCAATGCTTTGATGTGAACACCAACACGGTAGACAACTCCCGCAAGTAGCCTCAACCTTACACCCAAGTCCAAACCCCAGGGCATAGTTCGCATAACACTCAGCTAACACATCGCGCCTAGCCAGCCATTAAGACAGCACCAACGAGTAATATAATTCTGACTCAGTTAAAGTTAGCTCACTAAATAAGTTAGTGGTCATACGGGCTAAATTAACGTTAAACATCCATGTCAAACGAGTCCACAACACCCCTGTAGATAATAGTGTGGTGGTGGTGGCTCGGGTAAGTGAGTTTAGTTAGTTAGCTGGTGGGTGGGGGTGTAAGCCTAATAATGCTTTAAATCTGTGTGTGTGAGTGTTTGAGTGACCGGGCTTACGGGAATTGCCAGCCCGCTGGAAAGACAATAGACAATATCTATTTAGTAAATACAGATACGGATAGTAGTGGTGGTACTCCGTAATGGACTCGTCTAATAGTACTATATCGAGGGCAAGTTGAAGCCGAGAGAGAGAGAGACCGGTGCCTCGGCTATGCCGTGGATGCATTTCGGTGTAGATAAAATCACTCACTTGGCAGTGTAGTAGTTTTGCTGATTTGCATGCATGTATACTGTATACAGTTGTGCTTATCATAAATCAATAAATAAGTAAACATAATGCATTTAGGAAATGTTTTCGTTCACAACTATTTAGGGTAGATTAAGCAGTCTTCAGCGAAAATTACCCCATGAAAAATCACTGCAGAAAAAGTAGATTAAGGAGGGGAGGGGATGTAGAGTTAGTTGTCTGGGACGGACGGGACGGGGATCCATACTTACCATACCCACACTTTAATCAACTTTTACAACCCCGCGAACAAAAATCCTTCAACAAGGCAGCAAGACGAGGGACCGACCCATTGGACTTAGGTCTCTTGGTGGTTGGAAAAGAGAAGAAGTGTTAACTAAATTGCTCCGACCCGGTCGCGGCTGTCAATCCCTCCCGGATTCGCACTGGAATCTGGTCCATCGCGGCGGGGCCGGGACTGGATCAGCTCCAGGTTCAAATGGCTGGACGGGGTTCAACAACATCGCTAAAGGGAGCGATGGGCCAATCACGGGCAGCAGCGAAGGGGAACCTTAGGAATGTCAGATATCCGCCTTCTCCGTCTGTATGAGAGTGGAGCCCGAGGGATGGAGCCCGGTATGGTACTGTCACTCCCGTGACGATTCCCACTAACTAGGTGGACTAGACTGGGCAACCACTAATTGGATCTAAACTAGAGAGGGACAAGGCAACCCGGTTACACAGGCTGGATGCCATTGGCATCACATAATATAATGAGTCCATATAGTGTGGATGGTTTGTGGTCGAATAACTTATGTACCCATTGACAACTATGCAAACAAAAAGATGTGTGTTTTGAACAGCAAAGCAAAGAAGGGATGAAAGAAATCAAAGTCCAGACAAAACAAATGCCCCAACCAACTCCACGCGCTTTAATGACAGTCACGCTTGTAGATGAGATATGACCAATGATAAATGGCTAGAAAAAAATGCAACTTCAGGAAGAGACAGGGATGGAAACAAAACAAAGGAGTATCCCGGTGGTATCGTCGCTTATGTAGAATGAAAATTCAAGGGAATACAATCCAGTCACGCTAAAGGAGTGCGCCCGCTATGCTGTATGTCAGTCGCCACAGCTCATCTCCGGCGAAGACGATTGGCGCGGAAAGCAGTCAAGTCAATTGATTCCGCCGACTGCGCATCATCATCCACCTCAATGGTATCCATCTTCGTCAGAGATTGCCTGTCAACCTCAATGGTCGTGGCTGCGGGTGCCTCCTCGTCCTCGGCTGTTGGTTCCTCGGGCTGTTCTGCCTTCAGACGGCGGACTTCATCGGTAGCCAGGTCTAAGAGGCTTTTAAATTTGCCTTCCACACTGGTCAATTCCGTCGAGCAGTCTCCAGATCGGAGAAACTGGTATGCAGCCGTCTCACACACTCCGTGTACCAGTTCCAGCTGCTTCTCCGCCATATCAAATGCAGACTCTTTGGGCATGTCCTGGGCGCGAGGCACTGGAGGACCCCGGTTGCGGGCTTTGCGGATGCTAGATAGTACATCGTCTTCGCCGGACTCGGAGGGTGAAAGTGAAGGAGCCAGGCTATTCATCCTTGTGCTTCTGTCCAGCATCTTGCTGCGGTACCCTGGCAATGGCAGTTGCGACATTCTGCCTTTCCGAATGTTGTTGCGAGCTGTCCCAATGTGGCGCACCATTTCTTCCAAAACGTGTTGTGTGTGGCCGTCATAGTGGATAATGAGGTTGTTGCGTGTAATAACAAGCGGGTTCCTGTCCCTGGCGTCCATGGAGGGCGCATCTTCAGCACCACGTTTACGAGGGTTCACATTCGCTTGGTGTTGGGAGGTATTAGGCGTCGTGACGGTGGTATGTGTTTCCGCAGCAGAAGATTGAGGGCGGGTCTCCGTTTCGGGCGCCGACGAGCGCAGGTCCTCAGTTCGAATGGAGCAGACCGAGCTGTTCTTGCGACGGCGCGGTCTCACCGTAACATGTCTTCTGTAGGCCTCGGCGTATTCTGCGTGTTTCGCGGCGGTGTGGGCAGACAACTCTGCGAGTCGATCGATCCAGGAGGGAATGTTTTCCGTAAGGTGGGTGAAGGCCCCCAGGGCGTCCATTTGAGCGGGCATAATGTGATTCAATAGAAAAGCAACATGTGCTTTGTAGGCCGGATTTGTACTTCCGGACAGAAATTCAAGTGTGTGGGTTAGTGGTCCACTAAGCCCACTTTAGAAGTTCAGCCGTCTCGGTCGCGAGCAAGGGAAATGTGATAAAAATTGATTTGGCGGCGGATTGGGTTATTGACAAGTAGCGAAATCGTTTCGTCGTGGAGTCGTGAACAGCCGATGGGCGGTGGTGGTGATGACAAAGGTGCAGGGATTCAGGAACCTACAACTGTTCCATGGATCGGGGGGACTGCGCACGAGAGCGGTGTCGAACTAGTGGGCGGGAGGAGGAAAATAAGATACCGGGGTAGAAGAAGGTAGAATGAACGATGGAAAGGCAGAGGTGACTGGCACTACGGGATTGAACCACGATCAGGAGGTGAAAAGAAGGGGGGGGTGGAAGAAAGGAGGGCAGAAGAGAGAAGCAATGGAAGGAGAAGTGAGTTGGATGTGAAGGAGCTGACAGGACCGAAGAAGAAGAAGAGGAAGAATACTATTACTATTACTATTACTGCGAGGGAGAAGTGACGTCCCCGAAAGTGAAGCCCGAAGCGTGGGTCTGAGCCATGCAGCAGGATGCATTACGGTAATATTTCAGCCCGCCCTTTCACATGACGATGACCAGGGGATACCAGATTTACCAGTATGCATACCAGTATGTTGTATGGACTAGAGCCAAAGTAGTAAGCAATGTTCGGTATTATGATTAAGATTCCTCGATATGCTTCCATTGACAGGGGTCCCCCTGCCAGTGCCGGCCACTCGGGCAATCCCATGGCCGGTTCCACTCCCTTTTCCCTCTCCTTTGTCATGGTTCGGGGGCCCCGGATTGGTTCCAGGCTGGTTGTCTTACGAGACACCCAAGAGTTTTGTGCGACTACACTAAAAGTACATAAGTATTCGTTGCAAACCCCCCAACTGGTTTACTAAGTCCTTGCTAAGAGACCACCAGACCAGCGGTGAGTGTTTTCATCCTCTGTATCTTTACCATCGTGAGGGGAAACCCAGATCATAATAAGCATCATAAGGTGATTGTCAGTGAGGAGTAGGAAGAACGAGCAGCACTGCAGTAGTGTCAGGCTGAGTTCGGAGGAAACTAGTACTGTCTCTAGACGAGCTCCCGTCACAGATGAAACCCGACCGACACCAGCAAGGCCTTCCAGAAATGAGGTCCCCGTGTATGGCATTCTGGAAGCTTTTCTCCCCATATATTTCAAACACGTCCAGTGCCAGTTTCATCCACAATAACTGTAAGTAATGTAGTCAACATTTCGGGCAGAACACGTGCCGACACAACACCACCCGTCACAAAGAACCTCCCCTTCCACTTCCACCCCCGGACAGCCATCATCATCAGTCCATCAATCACTACAACTCAACCCTTCCATCGACATGGGTCTGCATCAAGCCATTGTCCAATGTCGCAGCCTGCAAGAAATGAACGTGAAATCTCCGGTCAAAGCCGAAGGCCATCCAAGACTCGCTAACGGCGACTTTACCCAAGAAAGTCATGACACGTAACGGCCTGTGCCCACGGCCAGACAGGGATCTCAAGACGAGTCAGAGCTCTCGGAAATGACCAGGATATTCTGCCCTTGACTGACAGCTGCCTCGACCACTGCAAGGCCGCGACCCGCCCAGGATTTCTCCCATCATGTCTTGCTCACCTTGTAGGATTGGGCTGCGGGACCGCCGATCGTCCGCACGGAGCCGTGGGATGACAGAAGCCATCAAACATGGTTGGCTTTGTTCGGACATGTTATGCTGTGATCCAGATAATCCTGGAGAACGGTCCTGGGCATGATGACTTGTTCGTCTATGATTCCTGGGTTTCGGTGTACAGGATACTCGGCTACCATGTCATTCCGGTCTGCTGATTGCATTGCGAGGTTTCCCCCGCCCTACGTACTTTGGAGCAGTGCAGCGAGTTTGTCCCGCTGCACACCACTCGGCCGCCGCCAGTGGCAAGTCAGGCAATAGGTTGATGCATTTCATTATTATTCCACTAACATACCCCGTACTTAGACCATGAGGTGTTGTTACCCATCTCTAGCTTGTTTTATCCGAATAAACCCTCGGGCTAGGCTCTGGCATCCAAACCAATCCATGACGCCGGACACTAGCTGCCTCCCTAACGCCAAAATCAAATAAGGCCAGCAATAAACAAGAAGCCCCCTGTCAACTCCATAAAGAACAGATAACACATGACGGGTCCGGTTGAAACGGATGCAGAAAGAAATGCTCCTTATCGACCATCATGCATTTCCTTGTTCCCAAAGCGCTATCCATTTATTCAATATATACCGGATTTCATCGACGGTATCCTTGGCCACCTTCCACTTGTCCTCGCAGTCTGCTATCTTGTCTTGTAGCTGCTGGTCCAAGTGTTTGAAAGCCGTCACTCTTGACGCCGCAACGAGGCTATCCTTTGGAAAGCCATAATTCTTATCCTTCGCTCGCTTCTGTGGGACCTCTTCTTCCTCGTCTTCCTCCTCTATACTAGGTAGAGCCTCAACTTCAGCATTGCCCGGCAATGTCTTGGATGGCCTGCCTCGTTTCTTTGGTGTCGATTCACCTGTTTCGGTGTTAAACTTGACGTTCTTAAACTTGAGCTTGATGCGCTGACCCTCTTCAGATCCAGTTTCGTTGCCGCTGACATCGCCATCATTCTTCTTGGCCCTCTTAGGGTTGGCCCCTGCCTCAGCAGTCTGCTTGCGCTTCTTGGAGGGCTGGGAAGCTCCTTGTCCTTCCGCATCTATGCAAGTTTAGCAACGTTAGGTCATACGGAATATTGATAGTACCCACCTGGAATAACGCTGCGATGCACGCACCGTCTCTTTGCTTTCTTGCACGGAGCACATGCCGGCGTCAACTTCTCCTTCGGGCTGTTATTGGAATCACTGGAAGATTCCATCTTCTTGGACTTCTTGGTGGCCTTTGAAGCTTTCTTTGGAGGGGTAGTAGAGGCAGGCTGCGCGGGTTGTGCTTGGGGAGCAGAAGGGGACGGAGGAGCTGAAGGAGCCTTGGCTGTGGCAGATGAAGCTTCGGAATTAGCCTAACAAACGATCGTTAGCGCTGCTCCACAAAATCTAACAACGGGGTAACCCACCTGCTGGGGGGAATGTTCAGCAGACGGAGCCATCTTCAAAGCAGTGTCGTCCTGCGAGTCGGATATTTCCTCTTTGAGTATGACTGATTCAGCGGCAGTACACGTAGGACAGTTGTCTGAGACGTCGCAGTAGCCTCGACACTCGGGGCAAATGAGTCTTCCACCTTCAGTGGACGAAGACATTCTGTTGGGGTTTGAGGGTTGTTTGTCTTTGGGTTACACCACGGAGGATGTTGATACAGGGAGGGAGTCGATTTAGCTATGATTTATAACGGTAGGACAGAGTGGATAATTATGTCTGATGGCTATAGCCGATTTATAGATTGATCCCGGCATGAAACACAACGAGGTTGTCTTGGTGCCGGTGCTTCTTTGTGCTAATTGTGTGTTTCAGGATACAACGCTTCGGAAATGTCCACAAAACGCGCCGCTTTATTCGGACAAGCAACAAGCAACAAAGAAGACAAACAGTATAATGCCTCGGTTTATCTCACCGCTACATTCAAAGACGACAGGCTTTATCACATTCCAATCTACTCATTGTTCAATACAACTGTACAAAGATACCTTCAATTTGTTCTACAATGAACCTCATCCATCACTTTTATCATCCCAACAAAAATAGCACCCAAATCCAACAACAAGGAATAACACTACGTATCAAAATCAAGGCCACAAATCCACCTCCTCCCACTCCTCCCCATCCCTCACAGCCGTCCACCTCGTCCTAATCGGATTCGAAGGATCATTAACATCCAACCTCTCGACCTCCTCCGGCCGAATCACCACGACCCTGAAATTCTCCCTCGCAACCTTATCCTTAAGATCCTCCACCTTCTGCCCTAGCTTTAACTCCGGATGTCCGGGATCCTGACTCCTCGGTGTACCAGGAGGTGGATTCTTGAAAGTCCCTACAGTCACCACCCATCAGCACCCATCCATGCCATACCTCCCCCTTCCCCAAAACACATAAATAATGAAATATGAAATAGAACGTACCTCTCATCCCCGGCGAATGATTCGCAAAATACATATCAACCTGCCTCTCCCAACTCCACCCTTCCCCCTCCCTATCCTCCCTAACCTTCCTCAACCCCTTCTCAACGAACCCCCTCCCCACCCTCTCCTTCTCATCCCCATCCCCCCGGGGATCCCCAATAATACATGCCCTCCCCCTAACCCTCCACATATTCCCCACCTCCCTCAACCAAAACACCGCTTCAACCACACCCCCGGAGCTCTCCAATTCCTTGACCTTCTCCATCCGCTTATCCGTCGTGAGGGCGAGCATCTCCGACTCGTAGATATCGGGGTTCAGACCTATGTGTTGGTCTTTGAGGGATTGGATGGCCGTGGGGTGCAGGTTTAGGGTTGGGAAGAAGCCCCGGAATTCGACGGTGCGGGAGCGGGGGAGGGGTGTTGGGGAGAGAGGGGGGAGGGAGAGCGTGGTGAGGGTTATGGAGGTGGAGGTGGGGGAGGAGGTTAGGTGGGTTGTGAAGAGGGGGAGGTAGGGGGCTGGTTTGGGCATTTTCAACTTGGGGTTTTGGGGTGGTGTTGGTGGGATTGGATTGGATTGATGGTGGTGTTGAGAGTGAGTGAGTGAGTGAGTGAGTCAATGGGATGGGAGGGGAGCTAGATGATGGAGGAGGAGCTATTGCATGACGTTAGATTGTGTGGTGAGTGGTGTGTTGATAGCGGCACGCACGTGCTGTTATCTTATCTGATCTGTTGGTTGGTTGGTTGGGTTGGGAATTAGTAGTGGTGGGTGTAGAGATAGGTGTGAGATGAAATAATTATTCGGTGATTTGGTCTAGTAGTGATAATTATTCTTCTGATATTTTATTGGGAAATGCTG